TGACAAGTCAACACCTATTCACATCTGGGCAGGCGTGCAGGTGTTGGGCTGCCTGGAGCAGGACAGGTGTAAGCAGCAGGTACAGCTGAATCCTTCAGGAGGTCCGCCCAGCTCTGAAGACCAGGACTGGGTTATGGCTGAGAAATGACAGGCTCATAAACTATCCTTGATATTAGTCACCCCACATGTCAGGGTAGCGTGAAAGAGTGGACTGTGGTTAGGAGTCAATCCTTGCCAGAGGATGGGTGTACAATGACAAACACACTTCCCTAGTGGGACGTCAGACCCCATTCTGCTGCAAGAACTTTGCTCATGTGAAATATCTTGGCCGGCCTTGAGAAACCTGATACAAACCACCTCTGATATTTTAAAGTCATCTGCTTCTAGAGAAGAAGAGAAAAAATAATGCTCGCGTACACAACCCCTGGGTAATCTGGATAAGGTGACCAGGCTGCTGGCAGCTGGCAGGAGTTGAGTTGATCTTTTTCTCATTTGACAAGAACATGGTTTCACTCCCCTCACCTTTTCCAACTAAGGCAGAAACAAGGAGATTCCAATCTGCTTCTCCAGAGATTTGGAAGCCTTGTTCTTGAGAAGAAGAAAAATTGGGAGGGAGGAAGGCATATTTCCACTTCCACTACAACCAAAAATACCACACACACTTTGGTGTGGCCCAGTTTGATTAAACTGTTGGTCAGGATCAACAGATCCTCAACCTGTACCAATTGGTTGCCCTCCAGATTTGGGAAGATGGAATTGTGAAATATCTGGAGACTGAGGAAGGCTGGAATAGAAGGCATCACTACCAGGATCTGTTAGAAATGTCCAGTCATTCCAGAGACTCATGAAGAATCCAAGTATCCACTTCTCTGAATGTCCTGCCTGCATCATAGATGCTACAGCAAGTGGAAGACATTGCAACCAGCCTCCAAAACGTATCAGATCTTCTTGATGTTCCTCATAACCACAGAGCCTAAATGCAACGGTTCATTCCAGAGTCACACCTGTGGGTATACCCATGCTCAACAATTATCATCCTCGTTTTTAGTAATAACACAAAAACACTTCTTCACTTGACATTTCATTAAAAATAACTGTTTAATCTGTTCAATTAAGCTCAGTTCTTGGTAACTGCAAAGATGTATCCATGTTACTTTCTTGGCAAAAGTAGGAAAGGGCCTGCAGCCCTGGGACATCTCATTAGTTTGTGGAATTTGCTCTTATGTGAAGGGACAGTTGGCTTTGAAATGGCATGGACCAAATCCAGAGATGACAGATGATAGGATGGAGATGTCCTACCAGTTCCTTAGAGGGACGTTTCAGGTGTGCCCTGATCTTACCTGTCTTATAGCAATATAGTAAAGAGACACATTCTCCACTTTGTCTAGGCTAGCTTTTCCAAATCTGCTAGCAATAACCACAATTCTTATAATTTTAGGGAGCCCACACATGTAGAAGGAGCAGGTGGGAAAGACCTGGGAAGCGTAGAAAGAAGATAAAAAATAATCAGCTTTTCTTGCTGGGGCCTGAAAACCAGACTGCTGTTACACACAGCACTCCTGACATGGTGGGGAGGGGCATCACTGGGCCCCTCAAATCCAGTTTGGATCCTGTACAGGCATCCCAATGAAAGCCTCCAGGCTCTGCTCCAATCCCTCTAGCAAAGGGGGACCCGGCACCTGCCTGCCTCACTGGTTCCGCTGTTGACTGAATCTTAATTTGGGATTTTGTGTCCTGCTCTCTGGAAGGATGGAGCAGAGGTTGGAGGCTTCCTCTGGGAGGGCATCCCTTTGGGTCATTAAAGGGGGCTTTTATATTCCCCTTCTGTCTCGTCTTCTCAAGGTTCAGCACCCTGCCTAATTCCCACGAATAAGACAGTATCCAAGTGCTGCAAGTGAACCAAGTAGCCCATCCATTGGATTTTGGTTTTCTACGTTCTTAATTCTGCATTTGGCTCAGTTTCTTGGTTAATTTCAGCCCATCGATCTAACTTCCTTTCCACAAACGATCCATTCCACCCCGCAATCAGAAGCCCTCTTGGCTCTGCCAATGAACTCTTAGAAAAAAAAGACTTATTTTTGACCCACCAAGGCACCTGATATTCCCTGAGACTTAACCGATATTTGAGGTCCATTTTGACCCTCCCCCCAACCATCCCCAATCTGAAGGGGGAGGCAGCTAAATGATGCTTGCTCTCCCCAATGGAAGTTGAGGAAACTCCTCAGCCTTGTAGGATTTTGAAAAGGTGCCTTTGCTTGGAGTACAGACCGTCTTCCTCCCCCAAGGGCAACCTCATGTCCTGCTCAGCAAGAGGAAGCTATCCATTTCTTGGCAAGGAGGCAGCCCACTCTGGAAATACGGCCCCTTTCTGACACGTAACCGAGAAGCCCTTGTTTACAGCTCAAGAGTGCGATGATAAAGCCTCCCATCGGGTCACAGTGACCCAAAGCCGCCTATTTTGGTTCCTCTCCATTCTGCGTTTCGATGTCACCCTCGGGGCCCTGGCACAGACGCCGATCTCCTTGGCAGCCCCTGACATGTCATCCCAAAGTTTTCAATCAAAACATACTTCATGCCTCTTTACGAGTCCCTCCCTGCCCAAGGTCATCGGAGATATTGGCAGCTGACGACTCTCCCTGACTTTAGTTCCAGGAGGGCCCCTGGGAGAGATGTTTCCTAGAAGGAAGCATGATACAAACAGGTGTGGGGGGGTCCTCTTTTGCCCCGGGACAGGAGAGACGCAGAACGTCCACCTTTCCCTCTGCCTGGCAGCTTTAATCACCTGCCACATGTGATCTTTCGGTCTGGGGCAAACTCCAAGGACATCACATGTGACCAACATCACTGCATTAATTGTATCATTTCATATATGAAGGGCCACGATGCACGTGCTGCCTGTTGGCAGACATACGTGCAGAGGCATGGGAGGGGTATCAAAAAAAATATCACAATGATGTGGAAAAATAGTGTGGAAAAGCCAGGCACAGGAGAGCATCCAACGTCTTATGCTTCAGCTCGCAAATGTAAGTATTTCATCCTTAATGACCTGTGTTGCTTGATCAGTACTAAACAGATTTGTTTGCCCTAATGCAGTCCAGGAGACAGCTTGGGGAATTCCCTTGTGGTCTCAGAAGCCAAGTTCATGCACCATGCAAAGTTGCCACTTGTTGCCACTTGTTTAATCAGAGGCTATTGTGAAAACTACCACCGGCTAGTTTCTACCAGCACTAAGCCACATATTTACATCTTGCAGCGTATGGAGCCATATAATCTTCTAAGCCAGGGGTGGGGAACCATGACCCTTCTATGACTTGTAGACGTCAGCTCCCAGAATTCCTGAGCCAGCCATGCTGGCTCAGGAATTCTGGGTGTTGAAGTCCAAAAGTCATAAAAGAGCCATGGTTCCCCAGTTCTACTGTAAGCCAACATCAAGATCCCACATGATCTAATCTAAGTGTGACAGTAGGTGACATGGGTGCTCCCCATAGATCTAATGGAGCTGATAAAATGTTTGAACAGATTATTTAATACTAGAATGGGTCAGCTGGATGAAATCAGTGGCTATAAGGCCAGGATTTGCCTCTCACCTTCCCCTTGATTCCCTAATGGTGGTTGATAACCTAACAAAGGATGCCCAATTTCATTTCCCTGAGCACCTTTTCCTAAAGTCTCACTCAAAAAATCTGGAGAGGTATCTCCCCTCCTTTCCTGCTTTTGAATAGTAGCAATTCTCCATGGTTGTTTTCTCTTCCAGATTCAAAGTTTAGCTGGCAGGCCTTGAATTGCCTGAGTATTAAAGGCAAGATGTCTTCATAATGGAATAAGTGGATCCTCTCCTCATGTTTTGGAAACAACTGACCCATCCTGGGATGCAGCCATACCGACTGGAGATCAGAGTTGTTGAAAACTTCTAGAAGGATCTTGGTTGCTACGTCTCTCCTAAGGGATCAGAGTTTCACACACTCTGGGATCTACATGATGGTAAGCATCAGCCCAGCACCTCAGCTGCCCTCTGGGACACCCAGTTCAAAACATATCTTGTTTCATACTGTATGCAGTGACAACTTGATAACTTCTCCTTGCTATGGAGCAATCACCCCGTCTTCTGGTGGGAACCTCTGCTCATCAGGCATATCATATCTCAGGTGAACCCAATTAAAACAGGCACTGATCCAATCAGAAATGGGGCAACCACCGTTGAGCAATAGCTGTTGAGCAAAGTGCTGATTGGCAGGGTTCATACCCCTCCTCACCTCACCCTGCCTCTCCAAAGTGGGGCCAACCCGCCTCACCCAATTAGAAAACTATTGATGATCTACCAGAGATGACTGTTGCAATGTCTCACATAACACCCACACTGGTTTTGCTAGTGGTGGAACCAGTCCAGGAAGTTAACCTTTCCAACAGGAGTTTCTATTCCCTAGATCGGGGTGGGGAACGATGGCCCCTTTACAACTTGTGGACTTCAACTCCCAGAATTCCTGAGCCAGGTGACTCAGGAATTCTGGGAGTTGAAGTCCACAAGTCGTAAAGGGGCTATTGTTCCCCACTCCTGCCCTAGATGTAGATGCTTTACATTCAGTAGGCCTACCTATTTCTATTTATAGACTGCATAACTGAACAAGATCAGCTTTCCCAATTGGTGTCCGCTACGTGGTTATCAAACTTGGACAGTCTGGGACCTTTAGTCCCAGTGCCTCTGAAGCTACCATGAATGCAGATCTTCCAGTTCCTTTCCTGGTCAAGCTCACACTGTGAAAACGTGGAGGAGAAACTGGGCAGAAGAGAATTAGACTTCCTCTCCAATGTTAAGAACTCTTGTTGCCTTCCATGTCAACATCAGCAACACCCACAGAACATCCTAGTGAAAAGCTGGTCTAACAGCCAATTTTACTGACACACCAGTTCAAGAAAAAGGCCCATATTAGGAAGAGGTGCCACCAAACCATCTCCAAGAGGATACTATCTCCAGATGCAGAGGAACCCCAAAGGAGACTTACCAGTGTGGGTCTGCCTGTGACTTTCCAGGGCATCTTCTTTAGAGAATTGTGCACCACAATGGTCACAGAGAAAGGCTTTGGCACCTGCTATAAGGAAAAAGAAAGAGAGAGGGGGAAAAATACATTAATATCAAGAAATCCTGACAAATCCTTATAGCAGTCACTAAACTGATTCTGAGTCACTGAATTGTGACCACAAACTGAAAGATCCCAAAATAGAGTTGACCGTATCCAGGGCAAAAATTTGTTTTTAACTGAATACTGGAATCCATGATCTTCACTCAAATATACATGTTTCCTCTTGCAAGGCATATCATGCTCTTATTCCATTTGGGGACATTATTCACTCAAACGTCACAAACATCAAATATACAGTCCAGAGAAAACTGTGCATAGAATTGATAAGAGATCTGAATGGTTCCCTGATATCTAATAATGTTCTTATTTTTGTACTTTTTCATTTCCGTGGGTTATGGAGATTTGCAAGATTGATTCTTTTTAGCTAGTCCAGCATTAAAACCACATTTTAAAATTATTCAGCGGTTGAGGCTGTGCTTAGAGCAGCACTACACTATCACCACCAATCTAATCCTGAATCATGCTACAAACAAGCTCTGATTTACATGTTTTTGTGACATTTTATTGGCGTTTGGAATAAATGAAAATCTAAAGAAATAAGCCATATACTGAAATGGTAGAGATATTTATACCGTAGATAGGGATGGATGTAAAGAAAAACAGGAAGAAAGAAAATTTAGATAGATAGATAGATAGATAGATAGATAGATAGATAGATAGATAGATAGAAATATAGAAATAGAATGTCTGTATATTACAAATGCTGGAAGTGAATTAGATGGTTTTACTTTCAGCAGATCTCAGACTGGACAACTGTTAGCAGGAACAAAGTTTGGGTGATTTTCCCTGAAAACAGTCCCTCCTAAATTTTGACAATACATGATGTAATTACATGATCATTTCAAGAAAGGCTGGGAGAGACGCTACCCTTGCATGAAGAGTCACTTGGAACATCTGGAGAAGTTATATGAATAAGAAAAGGAACAGAGATGCTCTCCAGCTGCCTTATACATCTTCAAAGTGCATATGACCTCTCCTTCTGCTAAGCAAGGCAGCACATCTTTTCTCCAGAACTTTTAGTTTAAAAAATAAAAAAGATAGAGAAAAGATACAGGATTGGAACTCTGCTCTCCACTACAGGGAGATAAATGGTGCTGATGTGAAGGGTCCATTCAGTCCTTTTTCCTGGTGTTCTAATTTCCTCCACTCTGAAATAACTGCTGGCCTCTCGTCCTTGAAAGGGTCCTCAGGCTAGCAGCAGCTGAGGAAGGAGAGGTGGAACTTCTTGTGCTCCTAAGAGCAGCTTCTGACCAGACCATCCACAATGCAGCAAGGAGGACCTGGCATTTATCCTGCACTTCACTTCATGGCGATGATGGTTCCAGAAACAGCCAAGTTGGATTGTCAAGGAGAGAATAGCTGAATCCTCAGGAGATCATTCGATCCTTTACATCACATGGAGCCAGCAGTGCTACTCTTAGTTGGTTCCCTACAGTGAGCTAAACTCAGGGACTGAGGAATCCAGAAGATCCTTTCCTGCCTAGCCATCCAAGGCTGCTACAGACAGGCTCAGATGCCTTTTAAGAAAACAAAGAGAGCAGAAAGAACAGAAAAAGTTCACCTGGATTGGAGCGCTGGAGAATTATGTTGGCTGAAGAGGCCCATTCCATCATCCAAGCTTTGGGCTGTTGTGATGGAAGGAGGAGCCACGAAGGCACAACACAGGGGTTAGAATCAACCCGCAGAAGAACTGAACACAAGCCGAAGCTTGCTCCGAGGAAGTTCATCCTGTACTTGAGAATGGCCTCAACAGAGCATCTCCAGGCCCTTGTGATGTGGAGGACACGTGCTCATAAATCCCTTTAAGTTCAGGAAGAAAGCAGGCAAGCAACCCAACTGGATGTCTATGGAGATTCTCAGTCCTCCAGGTCATAGTTATCCCAAGGATACTTTTTCACCAGGCAACTGGACTTCCTTGCTTTTCTTCGAAGATGTTTTGCTTCTCATCCAAGAAGCTTCTACAGCTCCATCCAGTCAGAGCTGAAGAAGCTTCTTGGATAAGAAGCGAAAGGTCTTCAAAGAAAATACAAGAAAGTCCAGTTGCCTCGTGAAAAAGCATCTTTGGGACAACCCAACTGGATGATGGCACAGAAGAAAGATGCCAGGAGTAAAAAGAAACCAAAAGGCAATGCCAGGGGAAAGTGCTTAGGGCAGGGCTAGCCTGCATTCCCAGTCTGCTCCGTGAGAGGGGAAGAGAGCCGGTATCCTTGTCAAATACTCCAGGTCAAGGGCCCAAAATGCCCCCGTCTGTGGAGCTCCTGGCTGGGGAAAGATGGCTGAATAGATGGATAGGGGATCCAGCAATGCAGAGATGGGATTATCTGGGCCACGTGAGTTTCTTTTTTAAAAAAAAAATATTGATTTTTTTCCCATACATTCAGTAGTATTTGTTCAACAAACATGCTGCTGAGTTAACATTCGCTAATACATATTTAGTTCCTAATCCTTTATTTTTTCCCTCTAGCCAAGTCCCAAGTTTGATAATATTCCGTTTCTTCTTTTTCTTTCAGTCTCAGAGTCAGTCTAGCCATCTCCACCCATTCTAATATTTTGGATACAATATAGAATTAGAAAAATGGCAAAATTTGTGGGAAAGAAATTACAAACTGACAATGTCAACTCCCTACAAAGAAAATTTATATCAAATGTTTCATAGATGGCACTTGCCACCAGCAAGACTAGCAAAAATGTTTAAAAACATGTCAGATAGATGTTGGAAATGCAAACATAAGTCAGGCACTTATTACCACGTTTGGTGGACATGTGTCAAAGCAAAGAGTTATTGGAAAAAGATACACGCCTGGCTAGAAAAGATGTTGGGAAAACACCTAGATTTTAAACCTGAACTTTTTTTTATTAGGTATAATGCCAGAAAAGACTGGTAAACGAAGCATATACGGTATTTGACTTTGCATGTTATAATAGTGGCAAGAATTATATTTGCGCAGTATTGGAAAAATGAAGGAACACCATCAGATGGGTCGTGTGAGTTTCAATGTGGACACAAAGTATTCTCTTTTGCAAAAAAGAGTAATGAAAAACAAACACCGAATTTCCAGCTAGAATTAAGAGGGTCCAACATCCTGATTAGCAGAGTGGTAAGCAGCCTTGTTTTTCTGTGCTTTCTAACACTCCCCTAATGATCACAACACCCCGTCAGCACACAAAAGGCTCGAGACAACAGCGATGACACTATCAGATAAGAACGACACACCAGACCGAAAGATAATTTCCACAACTATCGTTAAAGTGTGGTATTTGTGGGATTTCTTAGAAAATGTGCACCAAGGCAGGAGGCAACTGTTGGTTGGTAGGGCTCTTATTATAACAAGGGAAATGAACCCAGGGCTCCCATCTGCACAGCCATGAGTAACTGGCAAATTGAAATAAAGCCCCTTAGAGAGACTAGGCCAAAATGGTGAACTCAAGGGCTGGACCCGGAAGTTTGATTCACCACTTCCAAGGAGATTGAGGGACGGCCTGACAAAAGAAAGGAAGAAAGAAAGAAAGAAAGAAAGGAAGGAAGGAAGGAAGGAAGGAAGGAAGGAAGGAAGGAAGGAAGGAAGGAAGGAAGGAAGGAAGGAAGATAAAACCTAAAAATGGTTTTCTAGAATGAAAAGGTAGGGGGAATTTCGTCTTTAAGGAAGAGAGGGCTCTCCTAGAAGAACCCCAAGTGGGTGATTCCTCCCAGCCAAGACGTAGAGCAGCAACAGGCCCACCACTCTGAGGCCACCTTTTCTCCCCCTCCCCCCAGAACAGGCCCCGGTCCCAGGGCGGCTCTTCCAGAAAACTACAGCCCCGTTGGACTAGATCAGCCTCCCACACCAGCCATGCCATGCTCTCATCGCTTCCAGCCAGCCATGCCACAGGTTGGCCAAAGCTGTTCTAGAAGGCATAGTTTCCCCGTGCCTTCAAGTAGGCATCGAGAAACATAATCCATCAGCCAGAGTAGAGTGGATGGGGATGAACCCATGATGCTGCTGGGTTCACTATGGAGAAGTTGCAGGTTGTGTCTGGGGTGTGTGTATGTGTGCTCCTCAGTGCTTTCCAAAGGCTGGCCATGCGAGGCCTCTGCCGAAGACCTTGCAGCAGAGACTTAGGACATCTGAAAACCTTCCGGGCTTCTCGCCGTGTAATCCGTGGCCTGACTGAGCAGGGCCAAAATCTCCTTCCAGCCCTCATGGACAACCTTCCCTTAGCCCTCCACACCTCTGCCTTCCCACCCCAGCGACCCTCCCAGGTCCTCCCTCGCCCGGTGTGCCCCTAGAAGGGAGGAAATAAACAGATGCCCCTTGCCCCCCCTCCCCTCCAGAGAATAATTCCCCTGCCTTTAAATTGCCTCAGTAACGGCTGGCTCAGAGGCAGAAAAATTTGGCAGCAGTGAAATTAAAAGTGATAAATTTTCTCGCCAAGCTTTGATCGATAATAAAGGCCTCATCTGTTAATCAATAAGACAGTCTGCCTGTTTACTGTGCGTAAGCCGTTCCCGGCTGCTTTGTGGGGGGGGAACAGGAGGGGTGGATGTCAAGTTTGCATTCAAAACAACTCAAGTGTACCTAAGCCAAATGGCCGGGCCCTCAAAAGAAAGCAGGATCCAGGGGGCTGGGGGAGTGGGGTGGGGGGAAGGCAGGGCCCTGACATCACAGCCAGGGCGGGGAGGAGAAGGCAGGGTAAGGTTAGCGATGCTCCCGCAGGGGAAAGAGACAGGCAGCGGGAGCTGGTTTGCAAAATCAGGGCCCTGCAAGGCAGCACAGATGGGCCCCAGGGCTCTCTGTCCGAGAAGCAAGAAGAGAGGAAGGGAACGGGAGGGGATGTCACCTTCAGCCAGCCCTGTTGCTTAAATAATAAACACGGCTTCATTACCTTCCTAATTAGAAAGGTCAGCTCTACTTGAGAAACCGGAGATGCCTGCCACCCGGGGGAGGGGGGGCTCTTTGGGAGACGTTTTGTTCCAGAATCTGGTCACAAAAGGGCAGCTCTCACTGCCAGGGTGGGGGGCAAGGATCAGAAGGTTTCTCTTGACCCACCGGCAATCTCTTCGGTCCCTGCAGCTCCGCTTCCCCACTGGACTACTGCCAGCAACTCAGGGAGAAGAGGAAGTAACTCTGCACATGGGCAGGGGCGAGGAAGGAGTGGGGCTTGCAAACCGAACTCTGGTCTGGGTTTGAAAGCAGCTTCCATAAAAGAAGGTGATTGGCTTGACCAGGCATTCTTCAGCCCTTCAGGGGGCCCTGGGCAATTGGGGGAGATGTGTGTGTTACAGGAGGGTTGTATAGCAACAGTTTCCATCTGGGCCTCCTTCTCCAGCGTTTCTGATGGACAGATAAGGGTAGAACCCCAAAATTATGCTGTGTCAACTTCCATTATTTCAGCAATGGGTTTGGGGGCTAAGCCCAATGCAAAACATTTTATTTACTCCTGGGTAGATCTGGTATATCTTGGGTTTCTGTTCCAGGAAACACTTGAAGTGACCAGCAACGTTAAACTCCAAAACAGAATAACAGAGTTGGAAGGGACCTTGGAGGTCTTCTAGTCCAATCCGCTGTTCAGGCAGGAAACCCTATAGGGTCTCCTGCGTGAGTAGAGGGTTGGACTAGAAGACCTCCAAGGTCCCATCCAACTCTGTTATTCTGTTATAAAAGATAAAATTAATTAAGCGTGATCATGGACAACTGGTGCAAATCCAGTATCCATGCTAAGCAACCACTGGCAGCCAAACTGGTCCTTGAAAGTCAAGGGCAGCTTGGGATTCCTGTGTGCCTACCAAGATTTACTCTTATGTAAACATATACAGTACGAAACGTAGCCAGTTATTCATAGATGGCTCTAAAATGCTAAACAGGGAAGTAAATATTAACGAAACATTCCTGATTTGCATTCATGCTGCTAGTCCTGTGTAGGAATCACCAGTATTTTAGATAACTGGGGAGAGTCTGGGAAAGCTTCAGGCTCAAGTGAAGTCTACCAGCCTCTTTTAATGCCCTCTTCACAAAACAATGGTCCAAGAGTTTATAAATGTCCTAGCCAAACTTGTCCACTATCCACAAGGAAGGAGAAAGGAACAAGAAAGAAAAGACACAAAAAAGGAGGCAACATGAGGCTTGGAGAAACTCAGATTGAGAGGTTCGTCTTCACCACATGGGATGCACTTCCAAAAGGCAACTGGACTTTCTTGGTTATTTTCCTTGAAAACATGTCGTTTCTCATGCAAGAAGCTTCTTCACTTCAGAACTTCTGAAGAACTGAAGAAGCTTCTTGGATGAGAAGAGAAAAGTTTCCAAGGGGGAAAAAAATCCCAAGAAAGTCCAGTGGCTTTTTGGAAAAAGCACCTTTGGGACAACCATGACCCAGATGATCAAGAGCCTTCCTAAACACGTGAAAGGCCAGAGGGCAGAGATCTCCAGGTCAATTCCCAAACATCAACATTTTGCCATCATCCAGTCCTGGAGACTTTCAAGACTCAACCCAACCCAGCCGGGACTTCCAAATAAACATCTTGAATGTTCCATTGAGGCTTGATTGCATAAGGGAAGTACAGCGCGTACCCAGAGAGCTGACCCGAAAAACACAGCGAGAGAACAATGAGTGCAGGCCGGGGCATCTTACAGCAGCCCGTACAGTCTTATTTACAGTACTCCTTATCAGTCAGGGAACAGCGAGGGAAGCGGCCTGCCAGTTTCCAAAGGCCAGGGACTGGCTGTTCTTTCGCTCGCTCAAGTAGATGTGTACTGGAAGCAGAAACTGCTGCCTGCCCTCCAGCACACACACACACACCACACACACACACACACACTACACAAATGCGAGCATACACACCCTCCTGCCCACCCCGTGCTAAATCAAATCAGGAAAACAAAAAGTGAGACCTGGGCAGAAATCTTGCAATCTGCACAGTCAGGCATAAAAGGACCAGAGAAGCGCGTGTGTTTGTGTGTGCTTATGTGTGTGTACACACACGCGCACACAAACACAGGGAGAGGAAAATAGGAGCCAGGGAACACAGCGGCTGCATATGCAAATAGTTCAAGGTTAATTTTACTATGTGAGTCACCAGGAAAATGTCAGCCAGCCTCAGCCAGCCTCATCATGACTCCGGGGTTTCAGAAAAACAAGGAGAGAGATTTATTAAAAGCCCAGAACATTGAGGACAGAACACTCAAAAGTCATACAGTACATCAAGGAAGGGTAACTGGATTCAACCTCCCTCCCCCATCATAACAAAGCCCAGCAGCTTTCACAGAAGCAGGACTTTTAAAAACAGAATAAAACCCGGCACCACTTTGGGGAAGGTGCGGTCAGCGAAAGGAAAAGACAAAAGGAAGTATTTTTAGCAAGCTGCCCATGGTGGCAGCCGACTTCCTGATGGCTGAACCTGGAAGGACGGGACCCAAGAATGTGCTGCCAAGAAGCTGCAATGTGTTGGAGGAGCTGGATCAGACTGGGCACCAGATCCTAAGCAGATCCTCCCCCTTCAACAAGGTTGGCAAAAACAAGTGATTTTTCTGTACCACGAGGATTCTGCTGAAAGCCTGACCTTCCGGAATAAGACCATGTTCTCAAGTTGTCCCACCTGGCTGCCCCTTTACCTTTGCCATGTGTAATGGGGGCAGGAGGGGGGGGGAGGCACACCTTTTGAACTCTTAATCAATGGGAATGGGTTGTGGGGGAGGAGGGGGAGGACTGTGGGGTCCTTGGTGCTCACTGAGCTTGGTTGTTTTCTTGCAGTCGTTTTATAACCCAACTAGGTAGCATCATCAGGGCTAGGAGGGAGCAGAGTTTGCCCTTTATTTATATGCAGTGGCTTATACTATCAGTGCTGGTGGGATTGTTCTTGGTTCTTCCTTGATTAGGTGGCTTCCTATTTGATTGCTCATCTGCATGTTGGCAGAACTAATTCAGACACTCTTTTCATCAAATAAATTCCACCTAGGACAGAAAAGTGGGATTGATGTAGAACATCTCTGGGGCGACAGCATCCATTTTTCTCCACCTGAAAATGGTCCCCATCCATTCGAGAGAGGCCATTCTGATTTCAGAACCCAACACACCTCACCTGGACAAGGCTTTCTACTTTCCCCTGGAGGCAACCAGCCAGAGGAGATGCAGAAGGTGAAGACCAAGGCAGGAAGCACGTTCCAGTTGGAGACCCAAATCCACCAAGCTCCATCTGCCAAATCTTCCTAGGAAAAGGGTTGTTTTGCATTTGTTTAAAGGGGGAAAAATAGATTCCCTTCTATCCCTCCTGGGATTTGAGGCTGAAAAATGCAGAGGCAATTGATCAGCTGCTGCCTGTCTAGATCAACTCCTTTGAATAAAAGCCAGCAGCCAGTCTTTTAAAGATGGGTTTATGCCTTCTGCAAAAACATTCAGTGGGCCACGAAATATGGGAACCCAGCAGAGCTGTGTCTAGCCCCCCTTCTTTCTGCTCACCAAACCCCAATTTTACTGGCTTGATGGAGGAGGCAAATCTACCCTGCTCAGAAGGTTGTACTTCTGATGTTAGGAAGTAGTAAAAATGTTCTAACTGGTTAAAAAGTGACACCTACCCAATTGCCTTTGGTGTGTATAAGCCTTAACTGTCACACACAGACACGGCTGGATGCAAAGATCCCTCTCGCCTCCAACCCTTTGATTTCTCCTTCCCCTTCTCTCTCTAACTGAAGTGTGATGTTGTACAGTGCAACGGTTGATGTTCTGGAAAGGGAGATGCAAGCAGACACATCCAAACAACAGCCTGCGTGCACACAAACGCCCCTCCTTGTCTCATTTGTCTCTTCTTCATTTTAAGCAGTGCGAGAAATCTGTATGCGAAACCTGTTTTTACTACCTCCTTTCCAAAGCATTATTAAATGGCACCTGCCAGGTAAAAATGACATTCAAATTGCTGGTTGAGAAAGTGGAAAGATTTGGGTGGTTAGAGAGGAAGTGAAAAAAATGGGCAATGCTGATGCAGGCAGGGCCAGTGATTAATTTTTGTGCAGCCATTTGCATGAGGGAGAGATGGGATCAACCTGCTGAGCAGAACTGCGACCTCACCACCCTCAACTTATTTATTTATTTGTAACAGAGGAGTTGAGAGCATGACTAAAATATGTGGAAGACACTGCCAGGGCAAGAGGCAACCACACGCATCAAGCACATTCTCTTTTCCATGAATACTAGCTCAGTGATTTAAAAACCAAAATACTCTGTCTAGCATTCCCCCTTTTTAACCAAGTCAATCCACTGCTATCAAGAATATCAACAAGGAACATCTGTTTAAATACTAAAGTGCCCTTGACGCTTTCCTTTCCTTTGCCTAGGTGTACAAATGCCACCAATAAACCTGTTGTCTCTTCCAGAGGGCCAGATAAATGATGGCCTATTAACTTTATAAACCTACTAATTCAATTATTTGCCCGTCCCTAGCATTTTATGAGGTAGAAGAGAAAAGGAGATGGAGAGAAGCAAATGAGGAGAAACAGAGAGCTGGAGGAAGAGCTCCCAAAGTTGACAGGATTTGAGAATTCAGTTCTTTCCAGTTTGGTAAAAACAGAAGGATTTGAACCAAGGACTAAGGACTATATTTGTCCAGAATTCATGCTCTGGGACTCCCACAAGGGTACTGTTTCTCATGGGTCACAAGACCATTTCTCTTTAGCCCTAGTACGGTATCTCTGTGAAGAAAGGACTTGGCTAGCCCTTTCTTTATGGGTGGTGGCAAGCCAGATGTTTGATGTTTCCTGGCTTGGCCTGAGATATTCTGCCGTCCTTCATAACTTTCAACTTTACTCATCCCAAATCTCCTGAGGTCATTGACTAGAGCAAGGAGAAGCTTCAACTCTCATGGGCTGAGAGAGACAGACAGCACCTCAGGGCCGTTCCTCCTTGTTTAAGCAAATGATCTCTCTCTCTCTCTCTCTCTCCCTCCCTCCCTCCCTCCCTCCCCCCCCCGCTCTCTAAGAAATAGATTATCAAAGGCAGGATATGATCACATTTCCATTCAATGATAACAGCATAAATGTGTTTTCTGAACATTTAAAAAAAGGGGGGGTAAGTTGGACAACGTACCGGTCAGTTTGTGAATCTGGGCCTTTCAAGTTCAGCTCCAGTATGGGTATAGAGTTGGGTCCTCATCTACTGGAATGACTGAAATTGTTTTATGAATGTGTGTCCAGGTTGAGAAAGAACCCATCCTGCTCCAAACCCCATTCCTTGAAGATCTCTCCACATTAAATTGAGTAATCATCTGAAAAGATCCTCTCACATAAAACCAACCGATTCAGACACCATGAAATAAGCAAAATTCTATTGTATGCTGCTTTGGGAGAGGTGGTTGGGATAAGATTGGTTAGATGGCAGGTTGAGCTGAAGACACCAAGGAACAGAGAGCAAATGCTTCTGGGATCAGGCCACCTGGATGTGATTGTACCCTTTTCCCTCTCTTTGGGTGGGACTGAGGGCTCTCTTTGTTCAGCAGGCAGCGGTGCAGAAACGAGACCCCAATGCTCTGACTTTGGAGTCCTGGAGTGATTCACTGCAAGTGGTTGTAAGTTATGAGGTCACATTGTTCCTGAATGCAACTGGGCTACCCTTATATGATTCTGACGTGTGATGTCTCACTTTTTAACACACAATTGGGCTCACAACCAAGGAGGGGGATCAGGACAGGATGCTGCAGATTTGGGGAGGGGGCAGATGGCAAGATGTGTGCAACTGGCATCCTGCCCTTACCTCAAATGAAATCTGACCAGAACCCCCCAAAGGTACACCATTCTCTCTTTTCTCTGAAGGCCTCTCAACTTTCCTTGCTGGCAGCCCCACTTTGAGGACAGGATTGCCATGTCCATGGGCCTGAATCCTGAAGAAGCTGGTATTGAGTTCCAAGGTGCTCCAGATCATTATTGATGCATCAGAAGGTTGGTTTTGACGGACAAATTTTAAAAGATGATATGCACTGAAGTCAACAATTTGTCTTCTAACTGATAGAAGAGAAGATCTGCAGCTCAGGCTTGAACTGTGGGGTCCTAAGTGTCTTCTCACTTCCAATTCATTTATCAGTCTTCATTTTTGCCTCTTACCTTTGGCCTGGAGCCACTACTGGGGAGGGGGAGATCACTCAGGTGAGACTGTTGGTTCGAAAAAGTTGACCAAAAGTTGGGCAGGCCGTGGGAATCAACCAAGAGTTGAGGACAGAGAGAGCTGTCAACCCGCCTCTCTTCTGGACCAGGCAATGGCCAGTGCAGACCTGTCAGCCTGGACTTTTCCATCGCCTCCTCTACCAGTGAAACCCGGAGGAGCCAAGCTGGAGAAGGGAAGAAAGGGATCTTCTGTTTCTTTTCCATGTCTGAAAACAGCCTATAAGGAATAGATGAGGGGACCCTTTGGCAGATAGGCTGGCTCTCTGGCCCTTGGTTCTGGGCCTCTTTCTAGTTGAGACTGGCACAACAGCTGCACACCACACTCTGCAAAACAGGGCCAGATTGGCAGGCGGTCAAATCTTCTGCTGCGAGAGCCCCCCTGGACAGGCTCTGGCCCCAAATGCAATTTGCTTGGCCCCTGTTTTGGGGGTCCCTGGGATCAAAAACATGACTTGTGTGTGCAGAGGCACATTGCCCCTTCTTCTCTTCGTCCCCCCCTTTCCTGTCCTTTTTTCTGCCGAGGGTTGCTGTTTCTGTTGCTGTTAGCAGGGCCATATAACTGGCCCGGGTGTCAAGGATGGCACCTCCATCCTTCACGGCTTACAAATGTATTTCGCCTGTTTACATCTAGAGAGACATGAAAGAGAGCAGTCACGTTTTTTGGCAGCCTCTCCCCATTCCTGAGTTATGGCCAGCCATGACTCCGAGCTGCCTTCCTTTCCAGCCACAGTTTCATAACTCGCATATTTTCTGACGTTGCAATCCTCCAAAATTTCACAGGCACCCAATCTTCCCTCTCTCCGCTTGCCAGAGCACACCGTGTGCCATCAGTGACCCTAAAATGCGCCCTCAAACATGATTCAGCCAGCGTCAAAAATGGAGATGGAAGAAGGCAGGGCCAGACAGAGAAGGGGAGAAAGGTGGAGGTAATCAGATGTTTGCAAAAGAAGAGGAAAATAAAAAAAAAAAAATTAAAAAAACTTGGCAAAGCAAATTTATGCCCTGCCGTCACTTTACTACCTAATTAATTCAGTCATTTCAAAAACAATTTTATTTATGTCCCATTTACCACATCAAAAGTGCAAAAAGGGAAAAAAAGAAGAAAAAGAAACATTCTCCACACACTGATGCTAAAATAATACCTCAAGGCATCTATTTTTAATCAGTCTACACACATACACACAAACATACACCTACAGAAAAAATATCACACAAAGCCCGGGTTCTATAGAATCTCTCTCGGGCAGACCACCAACTCTAAAAGAGAGAGAGAGAGAAAGTCAGCCAAGTCTTCAGAGCACCCTTGCTGGTTGCCGAAAACGGCTTGTCAAAAAAGAGGGGGTGGGGGGAAGTGGGGGAAGGAAGCAAAAGGGGGGGGAAGCTAAAAAAAAAAAAAAACCAAACCCAGAGAAATCCATAATGGCTTGAGGCTCTTCTCCAATCTATTTTCTGCTCAGCTGGTTTTAAATGAAGTTATTATGAGTCATTAAAACACCCGCAAGCTTGTGGAAGTCAGCCAATTACAATTTTAAATTTAGCCTGTTCTCTACCCCATTCCCTCGTTTTCTTCTTTTGCCCAGGAAAAAAGAAAAAGGAAGGGAAAAAAAGAAGAAAGCCACTGGGTTTACTCTAGTTTCCTCTCTCTGTTCCCCCAGATAAAAGTCTCCCCTCCTCACCGAATCTGGTCCAAGACCCATTTCCTTTGCTGTTGAACATACAGAAGACAATAATTCAGCTTCCAAAGCCACAGACAGAAGCATATTAAGGGCAGGGGTATGTGCTTTTTTTCTTTCTTCTTTTTTTTTTCTAAACAGATCACAAGGCAGATTTTTAAATTGAAGATCCATGTCAATGTCTTATTTCCTTTTTTAAACCACAAAGCAACACTCTCTGCAGGATTATTTGAGCCTCCAATGCTTCGTTTTCTGGGTTAAGGCCCCCCCCACATCACCAACTTGGCCATTATCGCTATTACAGATGGGGCTGATGTGGCTTTGGTATTTTCATGCAGATTTTCTTATTTTTATCAGTGATCTGCCCAGAGGTGTAAAATTTTAATAAATAGAGAAATAAAGTTTCCGAAACTAATTCACGAAGGGGAAAATAAGCACAATTTGAATTCTGCACTGTGGGTTTCACCGCCAAGCTATATCGCCCCATCATATTCATTACTCTCATGGGCTGCTTTAAAGGGAACATTGTCAAACATATGGAAAGCGGACAGGACAAAAGTATACTAGAGCAGGGGTGTCCAAACCTGGCAACTTTAAGACTTGTGGACTTCAACTCCCAGAATTCCCTAGACAGCCATGAATTCTGGGAGTTGAAGTCCACAAGTCTTAAAGTGGCCAAGTTTGGAGATCCCTATACTAGAGGAACACACACAAACATACAAAGAGACAGAGAGAAAGAGAGACAGAGAAAGAGAGCACTTCGGAGAAGTCTGAAGACATCTGTCCAACCATAAGGCATCCTGGACCTCTCTCCCCTCTGAGCAGACTTTATCCAGAACATCCATTCGCGAAGCTCCCTCAAAACAAACCAGGAGTCATCCATTTCCCAAAGGACTCAGCCATGGATTCAGTACCTCTATAAGATTTGAAGCCTCCATGGAAGAACCAAAGGCCACAGCAGAACATCTGTGTTGCCTACTGAAGCCTTGGTTCAACTTTCAGCATCCCCAGGCTAAAGTAGCATTTCTCAACTGTGGCAATTTGGAAGGCGGGTGGACTTCAGCTTCCAGAATCCCCCAAGCTAGCAACTGTCTTCAACCTGCCAAGGGCGAGAATCATTGGTCTAAGCGATCAGAGAGCCAGATGTGATCTCACTGAAGGTCCCTTTGGATGGCACATCTGGGGACATCTGCACCTGCCCCACGGCAGGATTGTATGGTCCCTGTGACCTGGAGCAAGAATCACAAAGGATGCATCAGGAGTTCCAGTGCTTGGCCCAGACTGTGGTTCCGTAGAAGACTATGGCGGTTAACAAGGATACTGCAAATTAGGTTGGATCCCTGGTTGTTGGTTCTTTGGGCTGCAGATGAAATGAAGCAGAGCATCCTTACTTCTGGACCACCGATGGTTGAAGCTTCTGCTTCACCCCAGCCCTTGCTGATCTGAATGGACTCCTAGCTGGGTCTAAAACAGAGGAGCCTAAACCTCCTCACCAGGAGCAAGTAGTGTTCCTGAGTGTGTGTGCTTGTGTGTAGAAGGACTTGCACCATACACCATCAAGATATTGATCCAACCTCTGCCCAACTTCCAGACAAACAAGAGTGTAACACTAAAAACACTTCCTCCCTCTTGCACACTAATCCTCCCTAAAGGAGACTTTTAAATCCAAAAATCCAGCCAGCTCCCCGAAATGCCACACTACACTGGAAGAGCCATCAGAGGGTCACACTGACCACCCACCCCCTAAAAAGGGAGGGAGAAAAAGCACGGAAGGAACAAAATCTTGATCTCTCCCTCTCTGACACCCTCCCATCCTTTGAGGCCCCAAACCCCAACTCTGCCCCCCAAAAGTGGGAAGCGAAGTTATTACACAATGTCCACCTCCCTGCTCCTGCCCCAGAAAACCAAGTTCTCTCTGACTGTGCAAGCTGGGGGGGGGGGAGAGCATGACACCCCTTATCCAAAATTCAACAGCCTGTGTTCCGTTTCAGAAGGCACGCAGTGTACTGTACGGCCTATAAAACTCCCCAACAGCCTCCAGACACTCTGCAATCGTTCTCCATCAAAACACTTTGCCTTGCATACAAAAATAAAATACAGTGCTGAACAGAATACACAATCAGCCCATTACAGTACGGAGAGCGGCTCCTTAGCAACGCGGGGGCTTTACAGCGGAGATGCTCAACAGGAAGCAGAAATCTGTCGAGCCTGTTGGCAAATGATAAACATTAGCAAGGTTTTTTTTTTTTGTGGGCTTGGGTTTAGGGTTTTTTGGGGGAGGGCACAACAACCAAAGCCATGTAAAAGTAGTAAATTGTCTGCATTTACCCACACACCCTGCATTTCTGGGTGGTGTCCATAAAAACAGCATCCAGGCTGGATGGAGACTGGGGACAAATCAGCTCCCCGTCACAAACTGCTCTGATTTTTGATCCTGAAACCATATTTTCTATTATCCTGGTCTCTGCTAAACTCTTGGAAGTTCTGGCTCCCCTGCAGAGGACTAGCATCTTAAAAAACAAAAGCTTGCTGAAAGGTTAGTCACCCTGGACACTGAACAGCAGCAAACAGCCTGAAACAAGAAGCAGCCAGGGCTGTTTTGCTTTCCCAAGGGTGTTGCAGAAGCGAGCCCTTGAAGAAGAGAAAAATGGGGGGGGGGGGGGGAAGAGGTCTTCAGGAAGACCGAGTACGGAGAAGGAAAAAACCTGGATCGTCGGGTAAAAGCTGGGTGGGGAGAAGGGGGGGCAGAACAGGGGCAGCAGCTCAGCATCCCTGCCAATACAGGAGCTGAAAGCAAAAAAACAATTATTTGAATCAGCTTAAACTCTCGAGGCTGAAAATAAATAAATTAAAAGATAGATTTAAAAAGGTATGCGCAGGAGGAGGAAGGGAAAGAAATGTATTTTTCATCAGCAAGTGTATAATTTATAAACAGCATTAAACAGTTTGTGTTTTCTCTCTCTCTCTCTCCCTCCCCCTCCCCCCCTCCAGCCCTGCCGCCCGCCTTCCTCTCTTGTGTATCGGGGTTGGCCTCCACTCAAGCCTGCATTAATTTCTGCTGCGGGTACAGTGTGTTCTTGGCTGCGCATCTGCCAACGATCATAAACTCGCTGGAATGTTGGCAGAACATCCAGCCCTGCCGGCAAGCCGATGACATCACTTGGGGAATAAATTTGGGCACCCGGCCAAAACCCGAGGAGGCCGCGGGAGCCCGGCCAGGGAAGAGCAGCAGCAGAGCCACCCTGGGCAGCCGTGGGAAGGGGCGGCCGCTGCCCCCTGAAGAGGGGCAAAGGCGGATGGCTGGCCGGCAGGAGGGCACCCCAAGAGGGCAAGGGGCGCAGGGGCCCTTTGCTCTGGGAGGAAGGCTGGCTGGGTGGGGGGACAGCCTGAGCGTGAACCTCGAACCCCAGAGGCATTTCAGAAGAGACGGGACCACCGTTCGTCTGAAACAGTATGGGGTTCCTGCTTGAGCAGGGGGTTGGACTAGAGGACCTTCAAGGTTCCTCCCAATTCTGTTATTCTGTTACAGATGGTCCTCAATTTACAAGAGTTATTTTAGTGACCGTCTGAAGTTACAAGGGCACTGAAAAAAGTGGCTTATGGACCTTTTTCACACTTACGACCGTTGCAGCATTCCCCTGGTCACGTGATCAAAATTTGGATGATTGGCAACTGGCTCATATCTATGATGGCTGCAGTGTCCCAGAGTCACGTGTTCCCGTTTTGTAACCTTTTGACAAGCACAGCCAATGGGGAAGCCGGATTCACAGAACCGCCGTGTTGCTAACTTAACAACTGTAGTGATTGACTTAATAACTGTGGCAAGAAGGCAAAACTCACTTAACACCCATTTCAGTTAATGACAGAAATGTGGGGATTGTGTTCGTAAGCCGAGGACCGCCTGGATTCTGCTAATCTGATCCTGCACCTTCCAGGTGGGCTTCCCGCAGGAATCGAAGGGGAAAGTGAGCTATTGGGGGGCTGCACGGAAAGCCCAAGTGCTGAGATGTGGGTCTTCCAGGGCTGCAGGGCCAAGAGAGGGGAGGGGGCAGAAGCCCCTCAAGAAGGCTGCTCAGGGGGCAAACCCCCCTCGGGGAGAGCTGGCATCTACAGGTCTTGCCCCCCCCCCCCTGAATGGATGGCCAGCACTTTAAGTGTGGGGGGGGGGCTGGGCTCCTCTGGTTCATCCCAGAGGATCCCATAACCTCTGGAGTGGGTCCAGCTGTGGCTCCATCAAGGATGCTTCTTATCCTGTCAGCCACTGGAGCTGAGGACCTGGCCCCGTTTACCTCGGCGGCCATGGAGCTTGCATTCCAGGGGGAAGGGAAGCAGGGGAAGCAGGCATGGTCTCCAGAAAAAGGGACACAGAGAAGACCACTTGGACAGGGGGGGGAAGGGGGCAGGCACTCCCCTAACCAAGAAAACAAGGAACAAGGGCCACCTGAGTCTGAAGGGCTACCACTTCAGTAGATAAACCGCAGCCGCCTCGTGAGAGTTCACACAGCACCTCCGCTCCAGATGCCCAGATTGGCTTCCTCAATGAAGTTTAGACTGCAAGTTCTGATCCTGTAGAGTTAATTTCCCTAATATGCCCCCTAGAAAGAGTGGGCTACTTTATGAATGTGGCGGGTGTGGTAGGTGCCTAAGGTCCCATTCTACCTGTCCTTCAAACAATCAACCATTTCCTCAACTACAGCTCCAGAGGTGGCTATTTCTGTCTTCCATCCAAGCACAGTCACCCTCTTGCTGCACAAGGTCAGGGGTTGTTTCCTGAGGCTGGTGGGGCTCAACAGACCCACCTGCCCTTTGAAAAGGCCCGGTGAGCTATGGACCCCAAAGCGTGGTCAGATCCCAGCCTCAACCCTCCTTGGGCCTCTTTTGTGATTTGGAGGAAAAAGCAGAGATAGAAGAGTTGCGGTTGCTGGTTTTGCACCACCTTAATTTTTTCAGGGGTAACTTTGGTTTGCCTCATTCCTGTCCTAGTTTGGGAGGAAGGAACTGGAAAAAAAAGTTTGTACTAAAATCTGAGCTGTGCACGTCACTCCAAAGCTATGCTTTTCTTTTTAGAAGCTCTTCTAAACAATATTCTCCAGTTGTGTTTTGGTGCCTTAGTTACATGAGGGCATGCATTTTTGAGAAGACATTTCCCTGACACATATTGTACTGTTTAAAACTAAATTGACAAATTGCATTATAGTATAAAATTCAGGAGATGCTCAAATTTGTAATTTGAGCATTGGCTTGAAAACATGGAATTAAAGAAAGCCACGCTGATAACATAGACTAAACAGATTTTCCACCATCCCTCTTTCCAAGCCATGCATTTTTTGGTCACACACCCAGGTTACCACATAGGTGTTTGCATGTGCATGTGCTTTCCACAGCTATAATTATCCTGCATGTACACGAAACAGTTGCTATAAACACTGCCATGAGAAAACACACCTACACAATCTTTCAATGTAAACACAACAAGAGAGCAATTTTAATGAAAAGTGGCATTTTTCCAAGGGTAGGCACCATGTTTCTCTACTTTTCAGTTGCTGCAGGGGCACACTTGAGACAGTGGGGAATAATGTCCCCCCTGCACTTAATTCTTCTGATCCATGGCTCCATACAAAACTGAAATGAATATCTAGGGGAGGGATGTACCCAAAGGCACCTCTTCCCCAAGACCAGTTCTTCTTCCCATTCTCTACTTCTCACCATCATATCTTCTCAAAGTTTGACTCTTTTCCTACATTGTTGATGTTAGGAACAACCTTAGATGGGGTGAAGTCCTCCTGACATCAGGCACCAATTTTAAGATCAGGAGCAACAAATATCAACACCGAAGACCCTGCTGTAGATGTTCCCACAACCACTTCTTTGCATGGAAGAATGGAGGAACTTCCGCCACTGTTGCTCTTTACCGATGAAGGATCTATGGAGGCCTTCTGCTCCACCATTCGTTCCTAAGAGGAATGGGGTAAGGGGTTCTAATATATAGGAAGGAACTAAAGGGATCCATCAGGTGATCCAAAGGAGAGTGATGATTTGTTCTTGCTGGTCATTCTGAGTGGGATGCTCACTTGTGGCCTTCAAAAGACCCAGCCAGGAGAATGTCTGAAGAAGGAAGGGAATTTGGAGTTGAGCACTGAAATCAGTATGAACCTGATTTCATTCTAGCAAACTTAAAAGTACAGGAGCCACGGGATTATCCTGATCTACCTTGTTATTTAAGGGCTGGCTTTATTGCTTGAAAATTAATCTTAAAGTATACCTCACACCTGAAGATTAGCGCTCTCTTAAATGCCTGCTTAGCTGATGTGCATCCAAAATTGATTGGAATTCAATTCTTTAACCTCAGGATTTTGCAAACGCTGTATGCGCATTACACCCCCAACAGACCAGAGGCTCCTCCATGTGGGGAGCCGACTTCTAATTAAACAAGTCATGAATTTCTCTGCATGGCCCCCCTCCCACCCTGAAAAAAAGCCCTCCCAAAAAAACCCACAACCCCATTGTGGGAGCATTAAGAAGCGGCCCTCCTCCGGCCCTTTCTGCCTCGGCTTATCTGGCGAGAAGGGGACTGCACAGCTTGGGAGGAAAAGAAAGTCCAAGGTGTAGCTGGTGCTTTTGTCAACAACGTGTCTGGAATTTAACATGGCTGTTTTCGAGCATCAGGGCGCCTCCCCCTCCCACCCAGGCAGGAAGGGAAAAAACATAATCATCTTTCATGATGACAAACTTGGCTCAGCGCTGGCTTTACATACTGTACCCTCAAAACGGGCCGGCAGCCAGCCAGCGCTTGGCATGAGGCCAGGGCCACGGCAACAAACAGAAGCCGCGTGCGCCAAGGGAGCGGGCGGGGAGGATGGGGGACGGGGCAAGAAGGGGGAGGCAGCCGAGAAGCAAACACATTTTACACCCTGCGTGTCCCGGGCTGCCCTCCGACTAGGGAAACGATGGTTGGGAAGTTGCCAGCCCTCCTCACCCCCCCATTTCCTCCCCACACTCCCAGTGGGCCCAAGGAAGGGACACCTGCTGATAAAAACACAAATCCTGTACATGCATAATTCCCCAGAATCTACAAGGACCCAAAAGGGAGGTTTCTGGGGGACCCAGCTGCAGTTGGCATAGCTCCCCCAGGGGCAAAAGGAAAGAAAGGGGGGCTTTTGAGGAATTTGTGAGGTTCATGGAAGTTTCCTGAAATTAGAGCCCCAAGAGCAAACAGATCTCCCCAATTTTTCTGCCATGGCTGATTCACCAAGATCAGCCCCAAATGCAGTGCTGTCCCACTGACGGTCGTTCCATGACCTGATAACATTTACTCCCCCAACAACAGAAGAAACGGAGGAAGAGGGCGGGCGAGGGGGGCTTCTGCTCCCCACGTATTTGTTCCTCCTCCAAATTCAAATCAAAACCTCTCTTGGGTAAGATGTGAGCATTTTCCTATCCATTGTTAAGCTTTATGGCGATGTTTCCTCTAGAGCATTCTTCTCTCTATTTACAGAATTATTAAATGGTCCCAGAATTAGGCTGGAAACAGAATGTTACAACTTCCATCCTTCTCTCCTCCTGCCGGGACTTTTGCACCTCTCAGGAATGAGGAGTAAAGCTTCACAACCAGGGGCCTTTACTTGGGAGTGACAACTAAATGTTGCAGCACAGCAACCCTGTTGAGGACCCTCAATTCCATCCATCATCTTTATATAGTCCCACCACCCCACCTCACCCCGGGTGGTCCTCCCAGAAATTAATCTGTATGCCAGTTTGCCTGAATAGCATCAAAAAAGTTTCCAATGATGAAGATGGTAATGGTGATGTCGGGGATTAAAAATCTCAAGATTTTATCCAGATTCTTGGGCATTAAGAACACTATAGTGGCACCCCAAGAACCGAGTTTTCTATTAGTGTGGGTGCCCACAGACACTCTGTTCAGAGATGCCCCTATGAGAGAGTTGGGAACTAAATTAGCTCCTAGAAAGCCAAGTATCGTCACAAGCTTAACATTCTAGTTCCTCTGTGTACATTTAATTAAAGGGCCTGCATCATTTCAACCTAATAGTGAAATTCATTAAACAAGTGCCCAGTTCTGCCACTTTTGCTAATGAAACTTTGGTAGATGCTTGAATTTGGAGAAGAGATGCACAACATATGTTTGAAACTGAAAAATACATCAGTGCAGAAGGAAGACAGTGGGTGGAGTAGAAGAAGGCCTGTCCAGGTTGGAAGCTGATGGACGAGGCCTCAAATTCACCCAAGCCAGAGGGCTTCCTGACTGCCATTCAGAGCTTCCCTTGTACAGCTGGGGAGCCCCGAACAACCTTTATGAACAAGAAGGTCTCACTCTGGGCCTCTCTAAACATCCCAAGCAGGAAGGACGCCTGGTCCACCATCTCAGAAAGAACCCAGATACTCTAGTTTTTGTTCCTCTGCAGGGCAGAATCAAGAGCTCCTGATCTGAATGCCTCAGCATCCAAATAAACTGAATCCCCGGCCTGCAACTCTAGTTCTGTTTCTTGAGAAATCTCTGGACCAATGATGGCCACAAATCACATCTCCCTCCAAGACTCAAGAAACCGCAGCAGCTGAGCCCCATCGCTAAATCCCCCCACAACACAGCCAGGGATGGGATATTAAAGACATCAATCTGTTTCATGGTTGGTTTTACTCTCTTAAAAACAGCCACAAGAGTTTCTTGCCTAGATGGGTTTTTCCTCAGGAAGATCCATGACAGTCAGTCCCAGGTGGCATTCACCCCAGGAAAGAATCTTTTTCAGTGGAGGCAAAATATCCAGGACTAACCAGAGTTCTGGGAAGAGGGAAAAGGAGAAGGCTGGAGGCAGAGGTAACCCCCTTCTTGTACACTACTATCCAAACAAGGCATCCAGCCATTTAGCACCACGCCTCCTGGGGTCCTAAGCACACCTGTTGGGAACATACCTGCCCTACTGGAGGACCAGGTTGAATGCTTTACAACCAAGGATTTGAGCAAGTTATAATTCCAGGACAAGACCAAACAGCATGAACTTTGGGAAAAGAGGGGAGAACACTCAAATACACATACACACACCAACAACTCTAAACTTACCTGAATGAGCCAGTAAGTGCATCCGAAGGCGGAGACTGTCAAGGAATCTTTTTCCACACAATTCACACCCGTATGTCTTCATTGCACTGTGCAGTTTCCTGGGGGGGGGGGAGGGAAATGAACAAGATGAGAGAAAGTCTAGGTCCATAGCTTATGGGAAGTGGGGTCTAAGTGGGGAGAAAAACTCTTGAAAAACTCAACCTGCATTAGGGACCCTTCCCCAAATTCTATTGATGCAGAGATTCTCATCTGCTCAGAACACCACCACCCCCCAAAAAAGATTGCCTGTTTTGCTGCAACAACCATCATTAAAGGAGGGGCAGGATTCTTACATGGGAGGAGAAGCAATGACATTAATTTTACAAGAGTGGCTCATATTTCTTTAATTGATCTGACATCTTAGTGAAGATCCTGTATACTGAAGGACATACACACACCTCGTTTGTGATGGGTGTGTATTCAATGGGTTGACTTATATTCTATTCCCTGCTTGTCTCCACACCGCACTTCTGGTTGCCTTGTTTCATCTGGGAAAGAACTTTTTCACATTTCCAAAACAGGGTGGAAATGACTGGTGAAAAGAAGCAACAATGTCCGTACACATGAAATGCAAACAACATGGTTGGAAGAGGCCCAAAGACACTAAAACAAGTCTTGGAGAGGTTTACTTTCCTACTTCCCGCTTGGGCTGTGATCTTCCCAAGGCAGAAGCAAAAGCCGACTGATGGAGACCCCCTCAACCTCTTCTATAAAGAGTCAGCCTGCTTTTGGGGAGCTTCAAAGCCACTGATCAGCTCCCCAAAACACTGAGTACACTCAACCCTTCACCAAAGATAGCAGAGTCAACCAACCAAGAGCAATAATGGGAGCTTTTTCAAGCCCGCTAAAGGCGATCCTGGAGGGTTTGGGGCACAAGAAGGAGGAGCCACACAAACACAGACTTTTTGGTAGGTGATGGAGGGGAGTCTCCAGCTTTCTAAAGTGAGGCCTCTTCAACTGTAGCCTGTGTACTATCCATGTTTTTAACTCGGACAGGATTCAGACAACGTATGAAATGGCAAGCAAGATTTTCAGAGATTTTAACAAAACTATCAATGTTCCCACTTCTTAAAACCACCTTGCTATGTTCTCAACCTTTCTAAAGAAGGATTTTTCCCCCTGAGATTTATATAGCTAAAGCTCTAATCCAGCAGCACAATCAGATATCTGGCACTTCTGAATTTCGTCAAAAGCAAACATTTCAAGGGCAGTTTTGAGGTTTTTCTTCCAGTGGAACATTTGAGAAATGTTGCAGCAAACACAGTTTTTGTTAAAAAGGAACAACTTTTCTCAAGACAAGTACCTACAGTACTTACACAGATTCTTAGTTTGGTTGTAAATAAGGTGCTACGTTTGGCATATTTTAGAACTTCTGAAAGACACAGTTCAGCTAGAAGCAGGGAGAGGTTGGAGAAGACAGGGAAAGGAACAAATTTCTATATCAGTTTTATTTATTTATTGTTTTGGCTTTCCAGCCATGTTCACAGTCCAGTTGTGGGCAAAGCAAGGGTGGGTATTAGAGGTGTCTATGTGTAGAAAGATCCAGCAGCTGCTTGTGGCAGTTGCTGAAAAAACAATTCTTCAATTGCACAGTTTCAAGAAAGGGGGGGGGGGAACCCACTAATTATAACCTTAGAAATTACACAGGGACAGTTGCTGCTATTTGCCATCTAAATGGCCGTTCAATTTGTTTCTAGCTGAAAAGAAAAGAAGAAGCAAAACTCACTGAGATATTTTATCTAGAACAGAAAAGGAAGAACACAAAACCTTTTAAAACTTCATTTAATAAAAGGAAGATGATGTGCAAAGTACCAAAGCCAACTCCGGGGGACTAAAATGCCAGCCATGCCCCAAAAGAACAATTCTCTATGCCCCCTACACCCTGGATGAACGGTAGGAAAAGAGTACAATAAACTGCTTTTATTTTCGTACTATGTAAGCAGGTACCAAAGGGTTCATTCAGCTAGCTGGAATAATGAAGCACATCAAACTAACATAAAAATAAGAGACTCTGCTTGGACCGTTTCATAATGTCAGATGATGACATATTTATCAGGCTTCCAATCCGGCACAAATATTTATGAAGACCATGTGCATTTCTGAGAAGAGCTCAAGATGACACAAGTGTGGGCCAGCTACAGTGGAAGAAGAAGCTTCTTTCAAACAAACAACACATGGAGCAGAGAGTCTGCCAAAAGTCACCACAAGTCTAGATTTCCTGAAGAAACTGGGAGGGCTGACTTGTTAGACAAGACTCTTCTGAATCCAGAAGCGTTTTCTCACCAGCTTTGCGTCCTGCCAGGACACACTCACAGCAACCCAGAAGCCCTGTGGAGTTAAGGTCAAAAGAAGACGAAGCTTTTCCAAAGAATTTGTGTAACCTGATTTCTCTCCATGTAATTATCCTCAAGATGTTCCTCAAAACAGTCCCATCAGAGTCAGGTGCTGGACCATTGGCAAAACCCTGCAAAGCTAAACATGAAGGAGACGAGAAGGGGGGGAGTGGGGGGGGACCAGCAGCTACTGGGATCGGATAGTTGAAATGAGCAAAGACATCACATATGAATGCCAATGGGGAGGTTTAATGTAGGGGTGTCCAACTTTAAGACATGTGGACTTCAACTCCCAGAATTCCCCAGCCAGCAATAATAGTGACCCATCTTAAAGTGACCCAGGTTGAGAAACCCTGTTCTATGATATTAGAGCTAGGAATGTTGTATTAATTTAATAGGCAGGTGTTGTCTCAGAGAAAATTAGTTTGATCAGATGGATTTGTAATTGGCTCCTTAATTCAAGCAATTGAGGTCAGACACGGCCATCTTCACGTGTCCTTGATCCTTTCCCATCCTTTCCCAGTCAATTTTTCCTGTGCGGGACGATCTTCAACTACCCCTATTAATTTAATATTGGTTTCTCTAAACTGGTATCTTCAAGGCCAAGAGGGAAACTGAGGAGCAGAAAACCAACACTTCCAATGGAGGACCACTTGGAGGAAGGAGCCTGGATCTTATCAAAACACAACTTTGTGTGTAAGAATGCCAAGAAGCTTGTGTTGCAGTTTGCAATGAGTGTCTGATGGAGAGTTTCAAAGATACCCCAAAGTCTGCACACTTTCTAAGGGTCGTCTTGCCACTTCGGAGCCCAATGTTCTCTCCCAGGACCTTGACTCTCTTCTGGACGAAGAGGGACAGCACGATAGGACGGGACATACAGGTAATCCCTGACTTACAGTTATTCGTTGAGCGACATTACCACAGCACTGAAAAAAAAGCACAACTGCTCTTCACACTTATGACGGCCGCAGCATCCCCAGGGTCACAGGATCAAAATTGGGTTGCTTAGCAACTGGCATGTGTTTATGATAGTGGCAGCATCACATCTGCAACCTTCCCAGACGTCTTTTGATAAGCAAAGTCAATTGGGAAAGCTGGCTCCACTTAACGGCCGAATGATTCGCCTAATGACTGCAGTGGTTCACTTAACCACCCTGGCCAAAAAAGGTTGCAGAATTGGGCGGTCCTTCCCGCTTAACAACTGCTTTGCTGAGCAACAGACATGCTGGTTCCAGTTGTGGTCCTAAACTGAGGACTGCCTGTAAGTCCCGTGTAATATAATAATAAAGAGTCCAGGAAAGGCTGTCAAGGGAAGTGGCCGCTGTTAAGCCCTCTGTCAGCGCAAGTTCTTTGGCCGTCCTCGTGATTTTGCAAAGATGCACAAGAGGCTATTAACCCCCCCCCCCAATGTCTTCCTCTGCCTCCTCTGCTGCTCCCACCTCCTCGAACAAAGTTCTCACCGGGTGTCAGAAATGACAAAGGGACAAATTAATCTCACTCAGGCCAACTGCTCACCTAGAGGTCTACACCAGCTTTGCTATTGGTTGCATAAGCAGGCCCCTTTGTTTTAAACAAATAAATAAAGAACACGCTGGCCTTTCGGCAAGTAATTTATTTGAAATATCTCTATCAACAAATTTCAACAGGGAACAAAAGTTTTCCATTTGGCACCTGCTTAGAGGATGATGTTATCACGCTCTGTTTCATGCCAGTCTCCTTTCAACGAGGTCTTAAAGCACGTTATCTCTGGTTTCCGGGTAGCAAAATATGATTGAAATGTTCTATTTATGCTCACTGGATTAAGGCAATGTTGCAGAAAAAGAGGAGAAACCATAGCAGATGTAAGCAAGGTATTATAGCCTCTTGTGCTGTTAAGATCAGACAGGGAGAGATCAATAGACAAGCCAGCTATTTTTGCTAAAGTTGTGCTTTTAGGAAGGAAGGAGAATAAAATAAAACAATTCCATAGATATTGATTCTCAATTATAATCTCCAAAAGGCAGGGCACAGAAAAACGAACTGTACTTTAATAATTCAACACCCGACTGATCTAACTTCCAGATTTCATGTGCATTCTTAAAAACTAAGTTCCGTACCAGCAAATTAAACCCACAGAGTTGGTGCCCGGGGATTAGACTGACTTTCCTATCAGAAAAGACCATTGGGGTATATACAACCAACAAATTAACAATAATGCACCACGGAAGGCATTGTGCTGGAATAATTTTGCCCGAGTGGCGGAAAGTCACTGATTTACAGAAGCATTTTACAATATTCTTAAAGGGAAAAGAAAAACTGGAAATCTGTGCCATCTCTTGAATGCATGCAAAGAGTGTAGCGCATGGTGAGGAATCCTGGGGAAGGAAGCAAAAAATAAATCTGCCATTAAAAAAAAAAAAGACTTTAAGCACATTGATGATGCATCCACACCTGGAATGCGGCCTATGGATTTGAGAGCTTCATTTTAAAGTGAAGCTAGAAAGAGTTTGTAAAGGTAATGAGGAGCTACCAAAAAGACTGAGCAAAAGAAGCCACACTGGGATCCTTGCTTGTGTAAAGGGGATGCAAAAGAGGTGGGTGAAATGAGGCATAGCGTGGCAAACATTGGATAGCAAGGTCTATGGAGATTCTCAGTCATCCGGGTCGTGGTTGTCCCAAAGATGCTTTGAAAAAAGCAACTGGAGTTTCTTGTTTGTTCTTGAAGATGTTTCACTTCTCATCCAAGC